TAGTGGAAGTGAGACCGCCCTTGGTATCCAGGCTTGGGCCCTGCTTGGACACCCTTGTAAAATGCTGAAACCCTCATGAATACTTAACATTTTAAATGGAGTGAATGGGCCGCATTAAAAGAAAGCCTGGGGCTGAACCTTACATTTTTTTGGCTCAGTGCAAGTCATGTCCTGTTATCTGGAGAGATTCTCGTTGTAATATTAAAAGATTTTACTCACCGTATCTTACTAAATTTGCCACTTGACTTGGTGTTCCCACCCTTATGGAGAATATCACATCTAATTTCCACCTGGTCTTACCACATACCATTTCTGGAGAAGTTTGCCACTCACTGGATATCTGCTCTAAGACTAGTACCCCTTTCATTCTGGCCATATTTCAAAGCTTGCAGGGCACCAGCAGGAGAGCTGGTACTTGGCAACAGTCCTGTTTGGTTGTGAAAAGAGTCAGGAGAGATGCCAAAGAGAAGCTGGCACCATGCTTCCTATAGAGTGACTTGGAGGTCCTTGTGGACAGAGCGGTTGAGAGAAGAGTCCTCATTGCAGGACGCAGGGGATAGGCAATCTGCATGCCTGTATGGCCAACATATCACATGCTCGTGATCAATGTTATCCTCCTGTGAATTTCACTGAGCAGTTGCAGATGCAGCCCCCTGCCTCATAAGCCGGCTCAATTTTCCTGCAAATTGACAGTTTGTTCGCGGCTGTTCCCCTCAACATTGCACACTTTCCAGTTCCTTATGATTAAAATGACACCAAGCCAGTGGCTTATCATCAATATGTTACTTAGAGACTCAACATCACACTCTGCTTCCTCAGTACCCATTCCCTGAACCCCACAGGATTCACGCTACCCCAGGCCATTCCCCAAACTGTGTATATGTGCATACACCTGGCTACAACTTCTCCTCAACCCAACCATGGCCCCCTTCCCTCTTAATTACAGCAAGAGGAGGCAACAGGACAACAATCTGAGGAGTTGTGAATGGTGCTGAACATTGTGCAATCATTGGCAAAAATCACCACATCTGACCTTATGATGGAGGGAAAGTCATTAATAGCTGAAGATGGTTGGAACTAGGACACTATCCTGAAGAACTCCTGCAGAGATGTCCTGAAGCCGAGATGACTGACTTCTGATAACCTCAACTATTTTTCTCCTTGCCAGGTATGATTCCAATTGGCAGAGAGTCTGCCGGTGATATCCATTAATTCCATTTTTGCTGGGCTTGTTGATGCCACACCTGGTCAAACACGGCTTTGATGTCAAAGGCCTTCACTCCCACTTCACATCTGGAATTCAGCTCTTTTGCTCATGTTTGACCCAAGGCTGTAAAGAGGTCAGGATCTGAGTGACCCTGATGGAAACTGAACTGGGCATCACTCAGCAGGTCAATGCTGATCAGGTACTGCTTGATGACACTGTTGATGACACCGTTGATGACACCTTCCTTCATTTTACTGATGATCGAGAGTAGACTGATGGGATGGTAATTGGCTGGGTTGCATTTGTCCTGCTTTGTGCGTACAGGACATAGCTGAGCAATTTTCCATTGTCAGATAGATGCCAGTATTATAGCTGTACCGAAACAGCTTGGCTAAGGGAGTGGCAAGTTCTGGAGCACAAGTCCTCACTACTATTGCTGGAATGTTGTCAGGACCCATAGTCTTTGCACCATCCAGTGCCTCCAACCATTTTTGATATCACATGGAGTGAATTGAATTGTCCGAAGACTGGTATCTGTGACAAAAACAAAGTTGTTGGAGAAGCTCAGCAGGTCTGGCAGCATCTGTGAAGGAAAAAACAGAGTTAACGTTTTGGGTCCGGTGACTCTTCCTCAGAACTGTGATGCTGGGGACGAGATCATAGAATCAGAATCCCTAGAATGCGGAAGCAGGCCATTTGGCCCACTGAGTCCAAAACAACACTCCAAAGAGCATTCCACCCAGTCCCATTCCCCTACCCTATGACCATGTTTTTCCCATAGAAATGCACATCCTTGGACACTATGGGACAATTTAGCATGGGCAATCCTCCTAACCTGCACATATTTGAACTGTGGGAGGAAATTGGACCACCCAGAGGAAACCCACGTAGACATGGGGACAACATGCAAACTTCAAACAGTCACCCGAGGGTATAATTGAACCCGGGTCACTGGCTCTGTGAGGTAGCAATGCTAACTGCTGAGCCTACAGTGCTGCCCAAAGTGGATCATCCACTTGGCACTTCTGGCTGAAGATTGTTATGAATGCTTCAGGCTAATCTTTTGCACTGATGTTATGGGCTCTTCCTTTATTGAGGATGGGGATATTTGTGGAGTCTCCTCTTCCAGTGAATTGTTTAATTGTCCACTACCATTCTTAACTGGATGTAGCAGGAATGCAGAGCTTAGATCTGATCTGTTGTTTGTGGGATCGCTTAGCTGTGTCTATAACTTGCTGCGTATGTTGTTTGGTATGCAAGTAGTCCTGTTGGTAGCTCAACCAGGTTGACACCTCATTTTTAGGTATGCCCCCGGTGCTGCTCCTGGCATACCCTCTTGAATCCTCCATTGAACCAGGGTTGATCCCCTGGCTTGATGCTAGTGATTGATATGGGGAATATGCCAGACCATGAGGTTGCAGATTGTGCTGCAGTACAATTGTGCTGCTGTTGATGGCGCATAGTACCTTATAGATGGCCAGTCTTGATTTACTAGGTCTTTTGGAAGTCTGTCCTATTTCGCAAGGTGACAGTACCACACAACCTGATGGAGGTTATTCGCAATGTGAAGGTGGAACTTCGTCTCCACTAGGACTATGTGGTGGCCACTCGTACTGATACTGTTATGGACAGATGCATCTGCAGCCGGCAGATTGGTAAGGATGAGCTCAAGTATGTTTTTTCCTTCTTGTTGGTTCCATCACCACCTAGTGTAGACACAGTCTAGCAGCTACGTCCATTAGGATCCAACCAGCTTGGTCAGTGGTGCCGAGCAACTGTCGGTGGTGGAAATTGAAATACCACACCCAGAGTACATTTTGCACCCTTTCCAGCCCCAGTGTTTCCTCCAAGTGTTGTTCAACATGGAGGAGTACTGATTCACCAGCCGAGGGAGGGTGGTAATCAGCAGGAGCTTTCCTTGCTCATGTTTAACCTGAAGCCATGAAACTTCATGGGGTCCAGATTCAGGGTTGAGGATTCCCAGGGCAACTCCCTTCTGACTGTATACACTGTGCCGCAGCCTCTGCTGGGTCTGTCCTGTTCATGGGACAGGACATATACAGGGATAGTGATGGTGGTGTCTGGGACATTGTCTGTGTGTTATGACTCCATGAGTATGACTGTGTCAGGCTGTTGTTTGAGTAGTCTGTGAAACAGCTCTCCCAATTTTGGCACTAACCCCCAGATGTTAGTAAGGAGGGCTTTGCAGGGTTGACAGGGCTGTTTCTATAGTTGTCTTTTCCAGTACCTAGGTCAATGCCAGTCATCCATCTGGTTCCATTTATTCATTGAGACTTCATAGTGATTGTTACAACTGAGTGGCTTGCTACACCATTTCAGAGGGAAGTTGAGAATCAACCACATTGATGTGGTCAGGAGTCATATGTAGGCCAGACCAGGTGAGAATGGTAGATTTCCTTCCTTGAAGGACATTAACGTGCCAGATAAGTTTTTCTGACAACTGCCAATGGTTTCATGGTTACCATTAGACTCCTTTTGGCATAGCAGGATTTTGAACCTGGGTCCACGGATCATCACTGGCATTTCAGGATTAATAGCCTAGCAATAATACCACTAGGTCATCTCCTCCTCTGGCTTGTGACTGCACCAATTGTCACAGTAAGGCACGGCTGGGCAAGGCAAGGTACGGCAGGGCAAGCAAGGCTAGGCATACATGCTGCCAGTATGCTGGTAGGCACCAAGATGTTCTGAAAGAGCAGGAGAGCAGTTCTGGTAGGCATCCTGATCCAAACTGTGAACTGGGTGCCTTTCTCTGTGCAGTTGCATATGCCTGGTTGTCAGTATGCCCTGGTAGATTAGTCTGTCCTTGCAGGGCACCCTGCTAGTGCACTGGATGATGCCAGAATGATGGCGATGGGCCCCTGTCAGTGGAGTACCAATGGAAGGGTACATGTAGCTGGTGGATCATGCTCTGCTCTGCTCTGCAGTTTGATTGTGGGTAAGATGGAGTTTATGGTGAGTTGACACAGCCAAGAAGCTGCTCAGGTTTCCACGTTGAGTTTTCCAATGGCTAGTTTGTTTGGTATAATAGCAACAGGAATATGAATAAGGTGAGGTGGGCTCTTAACAAGACATATAACAAACAATGAGTGTGAATTGAAATCTCACCACTGTCTATTAAAAATCTCATCATGCTGCTTGAAAAAGGCATGAAAGATGCGGTGAGATGATTTCAATGCTGAGGTATCCTTTGCTGAATATTTTGATCGATTCTGTCACACATCGTGCTACAGTCTATGTTGTTCAGACTCATGTAAGATTCTCCCCTTGACGTTTGATGCTGGCCTCCTTCAGGAGTGGCTTGTTAGTTTGGCTTCTCCAGTCTCCAGTGATTTTCCACATCGTACCAATACTGGCATCGATGTCCACTGGCGATGTTGAGTCTACCTTGAATCCAGATAATTCATTCAGTCAAGTAACAATGGCCATTGACAGAATGGGGTTCCAGTTCTCGCTTTGCTAGTTATACCAGTACAGCAGGCACAAGGATTCTCAGGGTTATTATGACAAAGTTATTCAATTGCCAAACAACTCCACTTTATATCTATAACATAATATTTAGAAGTTGTACAATGACCTCATGATTGCTGTTAACAGAAATTCTATTATTAATATAGAAACTTCAACTTGAAGTTGATTGAAGACAGGCAATCAATACATTAACCCTTACAGGAATGAATGTTAGAGCAAGAATCAATTTAATTCAAAATTAGTCCTGTTTATGAAGTTTTAATATGAAAAGTAAATGATTTATATTCATGATATTGTAATTTTATTTAGTGGTAGTAAAATTATTTCAAAGAGAATGACAGAATGAGTGGAAAGGCCCATTTCTGTGCTGTAGATCTCTATGACTCTGTTACAACAAATTCATATATGAACTACATTTTATTTGATTAGAAAACAACTTTGTACATCATGATATTAAGTAATTTTGGGCTGGAAAGCAGACATTATAGAACTTTATGTAGCTTTAAATATTAATTTGTAACGTATAGTTATTTCAGTAAGTTATCTCTACACACACTATTAAAGGCACTTTGTACAAAAAGACACAAAAATACAAATGTGAAAGTTAAACTGAATCATAAAGCAAATTACATAAACACATCAAAATGTTAATTGCTGTGGTAATCAATGCTTTACTTTGGCTATTCTTATCTGTGTTATATTAACTAAAATGAATAAGGTCCCACTACTATTGTCAACCGCAACACAGAGGTAGTCCGGTAGTTCATTACGGCATTGACTGTTAACATCTCCAAATCCACGATGTACTCCTTTGGTCCTGTTAAAGGCTTCACTAAGACCAGCATTGCACTCACATTGCTTGTTTGCTGCAGGAATACAAACATGGGAAATAAGTAAATAATAGGGTTTAAAAAATATAGATTTCCTTTCTAAGGCAGCAGCCTCTGAAATGGGAAGGTTGAATGGGGTAGAACATCGCTCCAACTGGTTACCGTGTAAATCTGAGTGTGAGCTTCAGCACTTCTATCTGCCCTTCCTCCTCTAGCGGCATTCCTGGAAGGTTGGGTATGGGGTGTGGTGGGAGATATAACTCTAGAATAACCATTGGTATATACACGTGGAGCTGGAGGCATATGTCTCATGAAGTGATGCAAGTGGATACCACTAAGCAGAAGTCAGATAGCATTTGAATCCAAAGAGATTGATTCCCATTTGCATTGAGAGGGACCAGCCAGAAATCAGTGGCATATGCAACCTGTGAAATTTCAATTCAACATCACCGCAGTTCCGGCTTAAAGAAATATTAGAGATTGGCTACTCATCAGTCAACAGCGACAGAATTACTGGCATGCAAGTTATGTCCCACCACTGCAGGATACAATACACGATTATATAACCAACGTTTTGATCAGCTATCACTGTCTGATAACAATGATGTGGATGCCAGCATCACTTGGGTCTCCCAGCCTAAGTACCAACCTATTTAATGCAGTAGATGATTTTTAGTGTGCAAATCTAGAATTTCAACTGCCTTTAAAAGTCAGAACTGTTGTAATGTGTGCCTTACATTAGCACCTGTTCCACAGGTGATGCAAACACAATCGTCAACCAAGTTAAGTATTAATCTTGTGGGGCTCAAGATTGTGGAAACAGGCCATTCAGACCAACAAGGTGACTCTGACCCTACGAAATACATCCCACTCAGACCCATCCCTCCGACCTATCCCTGTAACCCAGCATTTCCCATGGCTAATGCACCTAACGTACACATCCCTGAACACTATGGGCAATTTAGCATGGCCTAGCTTGCACATCTTTGGACTTTGGGAGGAAACCAGAAACCTATGCAGACATGGGGAGAATGTACAAACTGCATATAGACAGTTGCCCGAGGTTGGAATCGAACTGGGTCAATGGCACTGTGAGGCAGCAGTGCTAACCACTGAGCCACCATGCTGCCCTTTAAATCATAGAATCCATAAAAAGCAGGTGGAAGCAGGCTCAGAGAAGATTCCAACTCTAACTTCAACTTCCAACTTCACAAAAGTATTCCTAGCCACCCCTGCTTGGGATCCTCACCCCCGGCAATTGCTTTTCCCTCACCATGCTCCTCTTATTTGGCAGTTGGAGAGACCCAATACTGGGAGACCTCAATCTAGTAACTGGCATCAGAATACATGATTTATGCTCCAGAGGTTGCAGGGCCAATGTAAATAAAGGTAGACTTTCAAAATCCTTGCTGCTTCTTGGCTCAGATATAATAGACTTCCCTAGTTTGTTGCCTAAAGAAAGACATTAATCCCTATGGCCTCAATTTTCACAATGGTTGTCATTGTGTTTTTTGAAGGGGGATTAGCAGAACATTTGGAGAAATGGTATGCCTGAAAGTCACATACAAACACATTTGAACAACCTCTCAATAGGTTGATGGCTGTATCTAGAGTACAGGGGCTGCAGTGATTCAATCAGGTGGCTCACCAGCATCTTCTCAAAGGTCACTAAGGATGGGCAATGAATGTTGGCCCTGCCAACAATGCCCACATCCAATGACCCAATTAAAAAAGGCTGAAAACGATTGGTTATGGAGTTTCACTACAGAGGCAAAGTGGAAAATTGGTACAATCCCTGTGAGAATTGAGGGCCAATGTATATAATTTATATTAGCAAAGAGTCAGGACTGAGCGTTCATTAGGTTAAAGTGACATGTGGTGCACTCTTGTCCCAAATAAACTTCATGGAGGAAAAACCTGAAAGATTTATGTGCCAGTATTTTAACTTGATACTTTTAAGACATAGATGGGCCAAAGTGTATTCATGAATTCTGACAGACACCCACTGTAACATCATGTAATAGGAATAAGGCAGAAGGCTAGAGACCCAGTTTCTGCCAGATAAGGGACAGAAAGTCTTCCAAGGCCTTTGATATTGAGAACAGCCTGGGGCAGGGGTTTGCTTTGCTAATTTTACTCTTGCTTCTTAGAAGATACCAAGCCACTTCCAGATGATGGATTCAGAGGGTCCAGTTGGAGCAAGTGGCTTGTATCCCAAAGAATGGTTGCAGCCTTATTGTTATAGAAATGCCACCCTGACAGAGGGGAAAGCAAGACCTTGGTGGGGTTGGGCTTTGGCCCCTGATTCCACTGGTGTCAGAATTTCTGGCTAAGTTGACAGCAGAGTTGTACCTTTATGGCATGGTACCTCAGATTGACTGGTATCCATGCTGGAAGGCAATGGCAGATGTGATGTGGGAGAATTCACTGAGCATGTACCAGTGGGTTTTCAGGGTCTGGTCTAGATACATAGATAAAATATAGGCAAAGCAATTATTGCAGGTAACTATGTGAGGGCCAAGGGTAAGGTAGTGGCATTGTCATGAACTAAATGTGGAAAGTTGTCGGATTCCGGCAGCAGATGGAAAATATACTATTTGTTTAGCCTTCTGATTGAAAATAAAGATAACACTTGAGTATTTTGTTTTTGATGGCAAGTTGATTAGAAATAGCACTCTGATCATCAACAATTTCATTCAAACACCATGGATCTGAAAATCCCTAGGTCTTCTACCAAGGTTTGCCCTGAACCTCCCAGGATTGTATTCCATTGAATGGAACCTCGATGAGCCTCAAACCTGGGAGCTGGCATAGGAAGGAGTGGAGTCTGTTCCGGGTCTAAGGCTTTTACTGGGCCCCAGAGAGCACTGCTACAGATACACTTTGTCAGATCAGGAGTATCTCCATGACATCTGGTGGCTCTGTGGTCTGAAACACCAAAGGAAATGTTGCATGATTTTTACCACATTTTCAAACTGTTCTCCCCAGAACAGGGAATGAGGGGAGAACAAATCATTTTTTCCAGGGAGGTGCACACCCCCAACTTTTCACATTCTATCCTCCCTCCCTTCTTCAATCTGGGACCAAACAGCAATATGTTAACTTCTGGCCTCTTTGAAAGACAGGCCCTTTAGAAGCACTCCCTTTAGTGGTGAGATGCAATCTATTGAGAAGCAATTGGGTGAGACTCCCACTACGAACATTTCAACTATCATACAGATTTTTGAGGCCCACCTCTTGAAATCAAAAAAAAGTAGTTGATAGGAAAATGTAAATATGACTCACCCTCAGATAGAACTCGCCTTCATTTCCAGAGATGATCTGGAAGGTGTTGAAGGTATTGGGGTAAACACTTGTTGCTTGAATTTGGAAGATATCAGATGGGACAGATCTGTCTGATCGAACATTCATGTATTTATACACATAGGAATAAGGCTGGTCACGGCAAGCTGCATTTGCTGCTGGGCAGACACAGCGACTGAATTTAAAAATAAAGCAAAATAGGCATCATTAAGAGTGCAAATGCTCAGCATATCCTGCAGTTTCCTAGGAATACTGCTTTAGGATTAATTGGTACATATTGAGGAATCAGGTTATAGTGCAGTATGTCCATACAAATGAACTCAAATATCTGTCGTAATAAACTGTAGTCCCATTTCTAAAATCCCTTCACTCTCTAAAATCCTGGAATGTGTTGTCATTTCCCAAATCCATGCCCAGTTTTTCTTTGATTCTATGTTGGAATACCTCCAATTAGGTTGCAGCATTGGAACAGCTGCTGTGAAATTTGCAAATAACATTCTTTGTTAACAGCGTTCATGATAAACTGTCCCTTTTGTCCTTCTTGATCTTTCTGTACCTTTCAGCACATACCATCCTGCTCAGCACCCCTCCTGTATTCAGAGATAGTAAGAACTGCCGATGCTGGAGTCAGAGATAACACAGTGTGGAAATGGATGAACACAGCAGGCCAGGCAGCATCAGGGGAGCAGGAAACCTGACGTTTCAGGTCAGGACCCTTCTTCAGAAATTGGGGGAGGGGGAAGGGAGCCGTGAAATAAATAGAGAGGAGGGGTGGGGCTGGGGAAGGTAGGTGGGATGGTGATAGGTGAGTGCAGGATGCAGTGGTGGGGATTGGTCAGTGAGGTGGGAGGAGCGGATAGGTGGGAAACTGATAAGGTCCACACTGAGACCATTGGGTAATAGGCTCCCAAGGTGGAATTGTCACAATGTCACAATGACGCCACGCAGAAACTGGAGGAGCAGCACCTCATATTCCGCCTTGGGAGCTGTAGCCTAATGGTCTCAATGTGGACTTTATCGGTGTTATCTTTGCCCTTCACTACCTCTATAGCCTACTCCAGCTTAACAAGCTGGTGGGGTTTTCCACTCCTTCAGTTCTGGCTTTCCCCGTATCCCTGATTTTAATTGCAGCCCTATTTCTGACCGTATTCTGCAGTTTTGATCCTAATCTCCAGAATTACCCTGTGTAATCCTTGCCACTCCTCTATGCCTCTCTCCTTTTAAGGTGCTGCTCCTGAACTAGCTTCCGGTCATCTGTCTTGCTGCCTGCTATCCCTCTCTGTAGCTTGGTGTAAAATATATTTTCACTTGGTTCTTTTCATTAAGCTCCTTGGGATATTTTGTTATTCTACATATGCTTTATGTATATGAATTGTTGCTGAAGAAAGCCATATAGTTTTTCTAAGTACCAGTAATGCATGCTTCTCAGTATCACTAGAAATAAAGATACTCACTTAGAAGCTGCATATCACAGTGTCTGCTGACAAAACTTAGTCCAGGTCAGCTCCGTCTCCTCAGTTCTACTCTGTTTAAGTCCCAGCACCACTGAACCAGACCAAATTTTGCTCCTTTAGACGCTGCTTCTACTGCTAATGGAAATGATTCTGCACACTACATACTGTACTGGGAATTCTTGCAAGTACTGTCATTTCTAGCTGTAATGTGAAGTAGCTAGACCTTTCTACAATTTGGTAGCAGTTTCATTATGGTTCGTTATCAATAGTGCTAAATTGGAATTAAGGAAAAGGAGTAGGGGAAAGTGAATGGTAATGAAGAGGGTGAAACGGATGATAATGAAGTAAGATGGCATTGCAGGAGGGCACAATGGGTGGCCAGTGAAGAGGGAGAATGGATTGTAATGAAGAGGAAAAGGAAGGGGAAAGGATGGCAATTAAATGAAAAGGGAAGGGAGGGATATGTGAAAGGAAGAGAAGCTGACAGAAGTAGGAAGTGATCCTTGGTAAGGGGAGAAAAAGAGGGTGAATCTGAAAAGGGGCATGGTTTGGGGTCTGAGGCTGTAGATAGGGAAGAAGGTACCAATATTACCTGAGAGAGGAAAAACAGACTAATGCCTGGAATGACAGAACTGACATATGAAGAAAGACTGTATTGAATGAGGAGGGATCTCAGCGAAACATATTAAATCCTGATGGGACCGGACTGGCTAAATGTGGGAAGAATGTTTCCAGTGTTGGGGAAATCCAAAACTAAGGGTCGTAGTCTAAGAATAAAGGGTAAGCCATTCAGGACTGATATGAGGAAAGATTTCTTCACTGAGAGTTGTGAACCTGTGGAATTCTCTGCCACACAAAACTGTTAGGCCTAGTTTATTGGATATATTCAAGAGGGTGCTGGACATGACCCTTGTGGCTAAAGGGATCAAGGGTCATGGGGAGAAAACCTACTCTTGCACCTATTTTCTATGTTTCTATGTAACACCAGCATCAGCTTGGAATGGACAGTGGAAGAGTGCCAGCTTGAAAAGTGAGAGTAATTGCTGTGAATTGCTTAGAGGGGAGAGAAGCCAAATATGAATTGGGAACACTGGAGGAGAATAGGAGGTCCTGCTCAAATGGTGATCAACTACATTGGATAACCTCCATGCAAACTAAATTAGGATAAGTGAGTGATTGTTGACATCATTTTCAGATCTCACTGGTCTCTCAAAAACCTACATGTCAATTTATTAATGTTAATTAAATTAAGAATTTATTCGTTGCGAAAAAAAGTGCTAAAAGTTAATCAGAATGTAACATTCTAAGGTCAAACATTAAAATGCTTTAGGGGACCTCCTCTAAATTCTGTAGAATAAAAAATGCTATTTTTTAATAATATATACAAAATGCTATATGCAGTTAGGGAAGTTGAAAATTGGTTGGGATTAGCTATATCTATTTTAGTCTAGATAATGGCTGTGCGCCTCAAAAGAGTAAATGCTCACTTGAAGATATGTTTCAGGATGAGGTAATGATGATCACTTGTTTGTAACATTCCCGATATTTTTAAGATAGTTTATAACTCGGTTGATTTTCAAATGTTAGAAGTTCACTTTCATTTTGATTTGTTTCCCTCCTGAATCATGAAATCAAAACAGTGTTAAGAGAGTTGAAATGTTTAAATACTTACTTTTCAGACATCTGATTATAAGGTTCGTGGCATGGATTTCGAGGATAACATCTATATCCACCATGATAGTTCCAACATTTCTCTTGTTCCAGACAAACATTTCCTGTTTCACATTCATTTATATCTGTTTAAGGGGAAAAAAAATTGAAAACTGAAAGAATCAACCTGAGGTTGAATCTTAATCCCTGAATTCCAATAAATCCATGAAATGCTGTTGTGGTGGTGATCATTGTGACAATTGTTGCAAAGATAACCACTACAATGATTGAACATAATAAGGATGGGAGCAACCACTTTGGAAACTATGGAACTGATAGTACTACTTTGTCAACAGGAAAGAATATTTCCTTAACATGTTCTCTCATGCTCTGGGCAGTTCTTTTCTGGTGTTCCATATGGCCTTCACAGCTTCGCAATGATGCAACTCCAACATGATCGAAGTTCTGATCTGTAAATCCTGCTCTATATTCAGCGCCTAATAGGAACATAGTCATAGAGTCATAGAGTCATACAGCACGGAAACATACCCTTCGGTCCAACCTGTCCATGGCGAACATAGTCTCAAACTAAACCACTTCCACTTGTCTGATCCTGGCCTATATTCCTCCAAACCTTTCCTAATCATCTACCTATCCAAATGTTTTTTAAACATTGTAATTTTACCCACATCCACCCCTTCCTCAGGAAGTTCATTCCACGCACGAACAACCCACTGTATAAAAAAAATTGCTTTTCGTGTCTTTTGTAAATCTCTCTCCTCTCACCTTAAAAATGTGCCCCCTAATCTTGAAATCCCCCATCCTCAGGAAAAGGCAACTTCCATTAACTCTATCTATACCTCTCATTATTTTATAAACTTCTATCAGGTCACCTCTCAACCTCCTATTCTCCAGCCTATCCTTATAGCTCAAATCTTCCACAGTTGGCAACATCCTGGTAGGAAGGAATATAGGAGCAGAAGCAGGCTATTCAATCCGTTGAGTATGGTCAGTCATTCAATTAGCTCATGGGTCATCATCTGCCTCAATGCCACTTTACTGCATTATCTCTATGCCCCTTGATGTGATTACAATCCATTTCTGTCCTGAACATGCCTCAATGATTGAGTTTTCACAGCCCTCTAGGATAGAGAATTCCAAAGATTCATTACCTTCTGAATGAAAAAAAATTCCTCCTCATCTGAGTCTTAAATGCCCTACTATTTCTCTGAGACTATATTTCCTGGTTCAAGACTTACCAGCTGGGGGAAATATCTCATCTGCATCACCCTGTCATGCCCTGTAAAAACTTCGTCAATATCAATGAGATAACCTCTTATTCTTTGAAATTCTAGAGAATATAGGCCCAGTAACCTCAATGCCTCTTTATAACATAATCTGGCCACCCTGTTGTTTGGTCTGGTGAACCTCTGTTGTGCTCCCTCTATGGGTTATATTCTCCATTAGATAAAGAGAACAAAACTGTACAAAATGCTTTGGATGCCTTCCTAATTGCTTGCTATATCTACATGCTAGCTTTTAGTGCCTGGTGAATAAGGACACCCAGGTCTATTTGGATATCGACATTTCTCAACATTTCATTATTTATGAAGTATGCTATAAGTTTTAATCAAAGCAGATAACTTCAGATATTTCATATCATATTCCATCTGCACATGCTACCCATTCACACAGCCTGTCCAATTCCCATTGAAGCCTCCTTGTATCACTGTCACAATGCATGTTCCCACCTAGTTTTGTGTCTTCAGCAATATGGAAATATTACATTTATTCCTCACAGCCACATTATTGATGTAGAGTGTTAACAACTGTGGACCAAGGAATGATCGTGTAGTACTCTACTAGCAACAGCCTGGCATTCATAGAATGGCCAACTTAATCCTATGCTGTTTTCTGTCTGCTAACCAATTCTCAATCTCATGTGCTAATTTTGTTTACTAACCTTCAGCGCAGAACCTTATCAAATACCTGGAAATCTAAATACATTACTGGTTTCTTAGTATCTGTACTGCAAATAACATCTTCAAAGAACTTCAGTAGGTTTGTCAAACATAATTTCCCTTTCATAAATCTATTATTGACTTTGCCAAATCATATCATTATTTTCTTGGTGTTCAGTTATTGCATCCTTTATCACCAATTCAAATATTTTCTCCATTACTGACATCAAATTAACAGGTCTAGCAGTTCTCTATTTTCTCTCTTTGTCCATTCCTAAATAGTAGAGTTACATTTTCTACTTTCCAGTCTGCGGGAATCTTTCCACAATCTGTAGAATTTTAAAAGATGCCATCAATACATCCATTATCTCTAAAGCCATCACTTTAAGCACACTCAAGTGTGGCTTGTCGAGTCCATCAACCTTCAATCAATTTTAAATTATGAGTATCACTTCTTTATTGATATTAATTTCATGAAATTACTCATTTTTACAACTCTTCTGATGCCCTAGTGTTTCTGGAAAACTTGCTGTATCTTCCTTCATGAAGACAGACACAAAGTACTTGCTTTGTTTCTCTGCTATTTATCTATTCTCCATTACAAATTCTCCCGCTTCCACCTGCAATGGACCCACATTTGTCTTTGCTAATCTTTTCCTTTTCACATACTTAGTGAAGCTTTTACAGTTCACCTTTGTTTCTCATTTCTGTCTGGAATTCATATCCTCTTTTACCTTTATCAGTTTCTTAGTTATCCTTTGCTGGATTTTAAATTGTTCCTGATCTTCACACTTATTGGTGTTTATGGCTACCTAATAAGCCACCTCCTTTGATCTAATGCACGTTTGGCTTCTTTTGTTAGCCATTTGTTCAACATTCTTGTTGGGTGTCTTTTTTAAATCTTCGATGAATGTATACATGTTACAATCCCTGCAATACTTACTTAAACATGAACCATTATCTGTCTATCAGCAAATCTTTTAGTGTACTTTCCCAATTCACATAGCCCACTTGCCCATTATAGATTCATTGCTTCCTTTGTTCAGATATTAAGAATGCCAGTTTGGAATGAATTACGAGTTACATACTTTATGTAAAATTTTATCATATTATGTTCACTTTGTTCCCCAAGAGTGCCTTTCAGAAAGGTTATTGATTAGGTTTTTCTTATTACATATTTGGAATGATCTCATCTTTATTACTTTTCTTTATTGTGGAAAACATGGGAAAAGGATACTGCTTAAACCAACAAAACCATGGAAGGAGATGTAGCAGTTTTAACATAATTAGTAAACTCATTGTGTGTTATATTTACAATGATCTGAAGAAAGGTCGGATTGCCAGACCTGCTGAATTTCTCCAGCAATTTCTGTGTTTGTTTCAGATTTCCAGCATCCACTGTTCTTTATTTTATTTTGTTACATATTTACGCTGTTGCTTTGTTCAAGCAGTAGGGGAGGATTGCTCATCAGCACCATGTGTGTGTGTTAAGGGCAGTTTTACCCAAAGACAGTCTGTTGACTGAAACCAATCAGGAATGGGTTAGGAGTGCACAGCATGTCAACAACTCTGAGAGGCTGCTTATCTGCCCAGGCGCCAATGTGTGAACAAAATAAGGGCAATAGGGGTCTAGATTCCAACTGTTAACTCTCTCTCCCTGTAGAGAAGCCACACAGAATTGGAAGATTCTCACTCATGATTTGCCTTTGAGCTGCCTATAACTAGTGAGAGGCTGAACAATTAGTACATCAACTGCCCTGCGTCTTCAGTGAAGAACCAGAGAGATTTGGAAAGAGAAAAATGTGAGATCAGAAGGACTCAGAAGAAGCAAAAGGATACTACATTGGACCCTGTGGACTGGCACAATTGAACCATGCTCTCTTTTTGTTTTTCCTCACCATCCATAATATCAATGCCTTTCTTGTTTGTCTGTGTCGATGTACATGTGTGTATAGGGATTCAGGAAGGAGCAGAATTTAAGGTAAAGAGTTATAAGTTGATAAGTTTTATTTTGTTTACCTGTGGTTAGATCTGATTTATTTGTAATAGAGTGTAGTTTCTTGATTAATGTATTCTATTAATCTGAGTTTGACAGCAGGTAAATTGGAGATTTTGAATAATTTGTTTAAAATCTTTCACTCTTGTGACCACCACAGGATTAGTGGGGCTTAATTGTCATTATACTGTCCCAAGTAGGTCAGGATGTATTATAAGATAATGTTAGCATTTTGGATCATGGACTTTCACTAGTGATTTGAAATCTTGACCCAACAGAACAGCCCTATTTCTACTTGTTCTTCAATGCACTGTTCCAGACATCATCCTCCAAAGCAGCAGTGTGGATTAGGTTTTGCCAATCAATATGAAAATTAAAGTTGCCCATTATTACTTCAAATAATGCTTATCACAATGTTTTTCCTCAAAATTCAATGGTTTTCAAACTGACAAGAAAGGTTGAGATGTGGGATTTTAATGACCTGATTTTATTTGATTTTCTTTACTCAGTTTCTTTTACAGCAGCCATTCAGATTGAGAGGAAGTTCTGAGGAAGGGTCACCGGACCTGAAACATTAACTCTGATTTTTTCTTCACAGATGCTGCCAGACCTGCTGAGCTTTTCCAGTAACTTTGTTTTTGTTCCTGATTCACAGCATCCGCAGTTCTTTCAGTTTTTATTCAGATTGAGAGGCTGGTTGACTTCTGGGCGGAAGAACCTGACCCACAGGGCTAGTCGGAGGTGTTAATTGCAGAGATGGGTTCACTGATCACAGGAATAGAAGCAGATCACTGCAGGTTAGCTTGGGATGCTGGGCGTGGAGGGAGCATCCTCTGTGAGGCTGTGCTCAATTTCACAAATATAAATGATTTTTACATTAAACAAGAGCAAAATTCATGAAATCTAGGAAATCTGAAATATCAACATACGGCATTCTAAAATACTCAAAGGACTGGCAGCAAGTGCAGAGAGAGAAACAAAATGAATATTTCAAGTTGATGATCTTTTATCAGAACTTGTTTTATTTGCTGTCCATGTACTACTGTGAACAATTCCATTTCTTAGTTATACTAGTTTTTATACTGGTGTAATATATTGTTGTGGAACACAGACAGATTGATGCTATGTGGTGTAGTAATGTGCCAATGACCATTTAATGACATTGGTTCTTGATAAATACCACAGCATTGAACTAACAACAGGAAAAAAAATACATACTAGGCTGGAGAAAAACAAAAATCTGTTTGGACTCATTCCCTGCATCAGAACTGAAAACAAAATGTGAACAAGCATATTTTCCAATCTTTCTTTCCCTTTTTGCATCTGATTTGGTTGAATAGACCCTCCTCATTCACCCTCAGTCACACTGTTGGTTTGATTAGTCACCAATTCTCAGACCCTTCTCCCCCAACACATACACACAGCAACTTTTTGGACAAGAGATAGTAGGAACTGCCGATGCTGGAGAATCAGAGATAACAAGGTGTAGAAATGGATGAACACAGCAGGCCAGGCAGCATCAGAGGCACAGAAAGGCTGACGTTTCGGGCCTAGACCCTCTTTCTGAAGAAGGGTCTAGACCCGAAACGTCAGCTTTCCTGCTCTTCTGATGCTGCTTGGCCTGCTGTGTTCATCCAGCTCTACACCTTGTTATCTCTAACTTTCTGGACAAAATGTTTCAAAACAAAAATGTACACAAATAAGTCTAACTAATGTGACAGATTGTGAGATATTTCACAATGTAGTATCTGGTCCAATTAATATGTTTAAGGTTAAAATTAACAATTCCTTTGAAAATCTACTCATATACAGTTATACAAAATAATGATTCTGAAAGGGTTGATATTGGAAACTGCACTAAGCTTCACACAATCTGATAATGTCATATTGGCTTGGATTGGATAAGGCAGAAAATCTTAGAACCTTATGGACTGCAGGTTTATACTCAAAGTCTCCTCATAGTCTGAGTGACAGTATCTAATGAACTAACATGACTTGTGCTTTTTTGATGTCATGCAATGAACTGTTAAGACAACAGCATCTTCTTGCTAAGCATAATTATGGTCCTCTAGCCAATGAAAACTAATTAGTCCCTTGTACCCCATCAAAGCAAAGAAGATTGGTGATCTCATCCTTCTACCTACAAATAACAAATACATCATCTTACAAATTAATTTGACATGTATACAGTCAGTGCTCGAAAAGAGACTTAACAATTGAAAGAAGATGAAACATCAATATCTGAATGATAATCACTAATAAATTAAAAAAGAAACAGGAGAAACTTCTTTACTCAAACAACAATTAGAATGAAGAACTTGGTATTGCAAAAGTAATTGAGGCAAATGGCATACATAAGGGAGAAAGGAATAAAACATATTGCTAATAGGATGATTTGAAGTACAGTGGAACATAAACCCTGGCAATAGAATAGTTGAACCAATTACTGAGCATATATGTTATGTAATTCTGATTAATTTGATTAAGTAATTCTGTATGGCTTTGAAAAATTTAGCAATTATTGTTCAGTTTTGTGTTGATTACTCATTGATGATTAGCAGATTTTATTGCTGATCTAGTCAATGCAACCACTTTTGAGATGTTAACATTTTGTTAATTGAACATTGGAATCTACCAGCATGGCTAAGTTAACGTGTAATAAATTATCAAAGCTGATGTTCAACATTTTTAAGGATTTGTGGTGCCTAGGAGGTGTTTATTATTAGAAGCAAGCAAGTCGTAATTTTAGATTTTCAACATCCAAAATAAGATGTAGTTTTCTAATATAAGAAAGAAGAAATTGTTGCTTGGATTACCATACCTTGGCACATTCTGGAACCCAGGAGTTTGTATCCCTCAGGACAGAGGCAGGAGTATCGTCCTGGTTCATTTATACATTGGTACTGACACATGAAGCTTGAGTAGGCACATTCATCGATATCTGCATTATAAGAGATAATTTTACAGCTTGTAAAAAAAAACATAAAATTTGCAGCATAAGTTAATACTTTCTTGCAATGACATCTGTACACAAACATTTGCAGAAAATGAGTCATGTCAGCTGTAACCCTGGAACTTATTATAGGTAAATTGTTCAAAACTTCTTGAAGCATTGAGAAATACAGTGTGACCAGAATGAGAACTGAATTCATTCACAACAAAGTGGAATGGAATATATTCTGTGTGGATGTAGTGTGATATTTACTATGCACCTTACTATAATATACATCATCTGGTACTACCTAGTCTTGCAATGGATAACCGAAGTAGAAAATTCCAACTTTCATCAGTGACATCTTGGCATTTTAGTAAAATTTAATCAAAGCAATGAAACATCTAATGAATAATGAAGTAACAAATGAACCCAAACAGGCTGAATTCTAGTAAGTGCTAAAATAAACTAGCAATTTTGTTATTAATTGTCAGCATTATTAAAATGGCCAAAATGATAACCTTCTCATTTTTACATATTAACAAAACAGCAGGAAATAGAACTGTTACACATTTGTTATAAATTATCCTACATATTGAGAGACCATTCACTAATTACCTCTGCATGTCACTTTGTCTGGATTTAACTCATATCCTTGGTCACACTGGCAGATGAACGAACCGACAATATTAAAGCATTGGTGATCACACGGGGCACTTGTTTCACACTCATTAATATCTAGAGGGGAAATAGAAATATAATATTTAAAACATTAGCTCTATGTATTTCTCCACAGTTGTCATCAGACTTGCTGCGTTTCTCCAGCATTTTCTTTGTTGTTAATTCCTATCCATCTGCGTGCTGTTCCAAAATATACCTTGCCTTGCACTGAAGCCAAAATTGCTTCAGAAACAATGCAAAATATGCAACAAATGCCATGATGTCTGCATTCTATCTTTACTGCTTCACCAGACTTTTGTTGAAAAGCTGTTCTTTACTCTCCCACAAAATGCAACTGGGCATGTGCAGATAGGTCACAGCAACCATCTTTAATAGTATATCCGTTTCTTCGTTAGGAGCTTGCATGTTAATTTTAAAGGCACATTTATAGTGACGGACTTTCAGCCCTTTCATGAAATTCTTTCCCAGTACCCCATGCCCACCCAAGTATAATTTGATTAATATATTTTAAGAAGGCAGTGTAGTTATGAATAAAGAGGATGCTGAGTGGGTGTTAGACCCACCTCTTTTGGTGAGGCAGTGTGACTGATAGGGAGCTTACCAATGCATTCAAAATCTCATCAGAAAGTGAATGTAATTTCAGATCAAGATGAAAGTCACTCTGGAAATGCTTGACCTGGAAATGGCCCACCACAGTCAAACAATGCAAATTATCCATTGAGTAGCATAGTTTCCTTGGATGGTAGTGGTCTACAATGGCTTTCAGATCTGGATGAAGTTGCAACCATCATATATTTTTATGGAGCCACTTAATGTTACGGAGTATCCTAACAGAGAAGGGACATGGTTTGGGGGTGTCATGATGACTGTGCAGAGATTTTAAGCCAATGTTAACATGGACACTTTTATCTAATGTTCTCCTGAGGCTATCTTTTTTCTTCAAAGCAGTCAATACTTTACATTAACAGTAGACTTTCATTCCACTTCAGTAAATTCTGACTTTTTTTGAAATATTGCAGGAAATTATTACATTTTTCAAAGGATTGCTGACTGTTACATTTGGCACGCAAAACCTCTCCACTTTAAACAGAGATTAACATTCACAACAGTGGACATTCAGACTGGGATACCCTAAATAGAACGAAAGCCAAGTGTTAATTTATTCAGTCTATTTATCCAGAACAGTCCACAAGGCACAGTAACAATCTCCAGATTCCCTCAGGTTCTGCCTGAAATATTGTTTCATTTATTTTGATTTTTCCTTAGTAGCACTGAATTGTCAGTTTAAGAAAACAGTTTTTATAGGTGTCCAACCAAAATATCTACTGTAAAGTACAGAATGCAGTCCAGTAATCAAGGCCAAATCTGTGTTTACTCCTAAAAGAAAAAGCCAAAATGTAAAGATTGACTTGACATCCCTCTGCCAAACAGAAGTAACAATAAGGCATCTGTTAAGCATGCTCTATTAAGAAGGTCTCTCCTTCCACAATTCTCTCCTGGTCTCACTGAGGTTCAGTCTCATAAGCTTTGAGAGCCACCCAGTACCTTGTACAAATGGCCATGTCTGCTAAGAGCATATGAACTGGCCCAGATTTTCCTTGGTGCCTCACTGGTGGAAGTACAATATAGACTCTGTCAGTGTGATAACTGGAGTCCCTGGTACATGTCTGGTAGGGTTAGGATGACAGAATGGAAGCAGCTCCCAACAAATTCCTGGTCATTGAATATGTTATTCACCAAAGGATCAAAGTGGCATGATTGCCAATTTCTGGCCTGTTAGCGCATGTATATAACAGAAGGCACTGAACTGCAGTCAGGAGTGAGGAGTGTAGCTGATTTATTCCCTTCCCAGGCCAGCGGTCCTGAGGCTAACTAAAAGTGCATTATTGCCATCCAGCAGGGATTAACTTCAATCCAGACTTCTGATTGAACCCAGGGTATTCCAGATCTTTATGGCTCACTGCCACAACAGGCAATGCAATTACTCAGTAAGCCATCAGGGGAGCTAATTAGAAGTTCTTATTACATTACACTTTTCACATAAAGACAGCTTGTTTCATATGCCTACAAGAGAATTTTTTTTTGCGGAATTACTGGAACACCAAGAATTACTATGACCTGTGGCTTTAGGCCAACCTGGCAAACACAAGTAGGAAAGCATTTCTGTGGGGTATTGCTCACAGTGTAAGAAAGTGGTTCAAAATTACTCTGGTATAATGACTGCCAGTTTCTAATGATGTCACCATGGAGATTGAAAGATTCCTTATTGTTGAAGTGACTGAATAAACCTGAAAGAATGGAACTTCACCCTGGCTTTAGGTTGCATGTGAATTAATAGACAGTATATTCCATTCAACAGTATAAATGGCTGTGTATCTTTACAGAGTAAAAGAGAGGGAGGACTTAGGACAATTAAAATTAAATATTCTGCAAAACTTTAATTCTGCTTTTAAATGCAAGAAAGACACTTTTAATATACTCTTAAGGCATACGAAAACAGATGGAAAAGCTTCCTTATACTAATACTGGAATCGCTGTAGGTGATGCTTTATAGATTTCTGCACAGTATCCCAACACTGTGAGTAGGAACAGCGGAGACTTACCTCGACATGTGCGATTATTGCTTGCCAACTGAAAACCTGTGTTGCACTGACAGTAATAGGAACCGGGTGTGTTGACACATCCATGATGGCAATAGGTGGCTACGTTACATTCATCAATGTCTGCATAATCAATGAAAAATACATTACACAACTGCTCACATTTAAGTAAATCATTGCCAGACACCCAGAATGATTAATGCCAAGGGCCATTGCCCAATGATGTAATATTATCACAGTAAGGTTGACTTTTTCATTCTGTTTCAAGTCACATTTTATTGTTAACACTTGGATCCATTCTGTCTTCTTTAGTAAGTTGCCTACTAATCTTCACCAGAACTCAAAAGCTGCAGTCTGGTAGCAATTTGGATTTGGTTATTTCCTCTTCCATTTCAAACTATATTAGTGCTGAACAAACACATTTATAACAGGGGGGTATTAGGCCACTGGATTAATCAGCCCAGCGGCAGCCGTATTGCTAACTATAGGTACGATAACATCGTTTCATCAGAGTTTTGAGATGAAATCAGTCACTTCCTCAAGCTATGTTGAAACTTTAATTCAGCATTTATCATTTAATTTTAACATAGTAATTTTCAGAATCAGTAACGCCAACATATACTGCTTCACCTTATTGCCGTGAAAAGGGTCTGGTGGACCTTTCTGTTGGACTACTATAACTCCTATGGTGCTTTTCTTTAATAAACATAGGAACAAGTAACTCAGGAGCCCAGTCCATTTTGCCATTCAATATTGTATTGTCATATTGTGGTCTCAATCCCACTCTCCTGCCTCCTTACATACCCTTCAACTCCAGTTCTACCTTAAAAATATTCACTAACCCAGTCTCCACTGCTGTCTGTTGAAGAGAGTTACACAGACTAATGACTGTATGAGGTAAAAAATTCTCATCTCCATTTGAATATTTATAAAACAGTGTCTCCTCAGTTTCATCTCTCCCATAACGGGAAAACATCTTTTAGCATCCACTCTGTCAAGTTCCCTCAGGATCTTTTAATGTCTCAATAAGATCATCTCTTATTTTTAACAGACATAAACCCAATTTGTCCAACCTTTCCTCATTTGTCCCAGGAATCAGTCAAGTGAACCATCTTGGGCTGCTTTTAATAAAGTTGTCCTGATGTAATTTTGTAGTGGTTTGCTACGCTGAAAGACTTGCTTCCTTCAGTAGACAGTTACAAGCCAAACAGAATGGTATGGAACCAGAATCAAATAAAACTAGGCTGGGACAACAAGGTGCAGGGCTGGACGAACACAGCAGGCCGAGCAGCATCATAGGAGCAGAGAGGCTGACGTTTCGGGTCTAGACCCTTCATCAGAAAAGGGGGAGGGGAAGGGGGTTTTGAAATAAATAGGGAGAGAGTGGGAGGCGGATAGAAGATGGATAGAGGAGAGGATAGGTGGAGAGGAAACAAACAGGTCGAAGAGGCGGGGATGGGGCCAGGAAAGGTGAGTGTAGGTAGGGAGTTAGGAAGGGGATAGGTCAGTCCAGGGAGGACGGACAGGTCAAGGGGGCGGGATGAGGTTGGTCGGTAGGAGATGGAGGTGCGGCTTGAGGTGGGAGGAGGGGATAGGTGGGAGGAAGAACAGGTTAGGGAGGCAGGGACGAGTTGGACTGGTTTTGGGATGCGGTGGGGGGAGGGGAGATTTTGAAACTTGTGAAATCCACATTGATACCATTGGGCTGCAGGGTTCCCAAGCGGAATATGAGTTGCTGTTCCTGCAACCTTCGGGTGGCATCGTTGTGGCACTGCAGGAGGCCCAGGATGGACATGTCGTCTGAGGAATGGGAGGGGGAGTTGAAATGGTTCGCGACTGGGAGGTGCAGTTGTTTGTTGCGAACCGAGCGTAGGTGTTCTGCAAAGCGGTCCCCGAGTCTCCGCTTGGTTTCCCCGATGTAGAGGAAGCCACACCGGGTACAGCGGATGCAGTATACCACATTGGCAGATGTGCAGGTGAACATCTGCTTGATGTGGAAAGTCTTCTTGGGGCCTGGGATGGGGGTGAGGGAGGAGGTGTGGTGGCAGGTGTAGCACTTCCTGCGGTTGCAGGGAAAAGTGCCGGGTGTGGTGGAGCTGGAGGGGAGTGTGGAGCGGACAAGGGAGTCACGGAGAGAGTTGTCCCTCCGGAAAGCAGATAAAGGTGGGGAGGGAAAGATGTCTTTGGTGGTGGGGTCGGATTGCAGATGGCGGAAGTGTCGGAGGATGATGCGTTGGATCCGGAGGTTGGTGGGGTGGTACGTGAGGACGAGGGGGATTCTTTTTTGGTTTTTATTGCGTGGACGGGGTGTGAGGGATGAGGTGCGGGAGATGTGGGAGACACGGTTGAGGGCGTTCTCGACCACCGAGGAGGGGAAGTTACGGTCCTTGAAAAATGAGGACAACTGAGATGTACGGGAGTGGAATGCCTCATCCTGGGAGCAGATGCGGCGGAGGCGAAGGAATTGGGAATAGGGGATAGCATTTTTGCAGGAAGGTGGGTGAGAGGAGGAGTATTCTAGGTAGCTGTGGGAGTCGGTGGGCTTGAAATGAATATCGGTTTCGAGGTGGTTGCCCGATATGGAGACAGAGAGGTCCAGGAAGGGGAGAGAGGTGTTAGAGATGGTCCAGGTAAATTTAAGGTTGGGGTGGAAGGTGTTAGTGAAGTGTATGAACTGTTCGAGCTCCTCGTGGGAGCACGAGGCGGCGCCGATACAGTCATCAATGTAACGGAGGAAGAGGTGGGGTTTAGGGCCGGTGTAGGTACGGAAGAGGGATTGTTCCACATAACCTAGGCTGGGTAATGTTGTAAAGTTACGTTAACTAAAGGACAGCAGGGACATATCTAATTTTATTGTTACTAGCTTTTGATTTCAACATTTTTAAAAAAGTATCCAAATTCTCAAACTGGCATGGCAACGTTATGAGGTATGAGGCTCTATTCTTGCATCCAATTAGATATGTGAAGGTCAGAGGTTAAAATTCCATAACCTCAAATTTGATCCCAATCTACCTGCCCAATTCCTGGTTTAATTGTGTGTGACAGTAGCAGTGTGCAGTTAGGTTGGCTGGCAATTTAAATAGTTCAATACATAAGAAGTCTGTCAAACTTGAATTTAACCTGTTTTACAGATTTAACTGTGACCAGTTGGGTTTCAGAGGCCTGCAGAAACCTCAGGGTGACAAAGCAAGTTCATTCACAGCTTTTCTCATTGGCCAAGAGGAGCAGGTACTTTCCCCTTTACTCTCCCTTAAAATATCTGCCAGCATTGAGGTTCTGACTTGCTCCACAATGGGTTCAGACAGCTTCTTGGGGTTAGGGACAGGTCTAGCCCAGGACTGGACAGTGCACCCCATCCCAAGTTACAGACTCCCAAGGATTGGGAATCAGACTCTCTTGGGATTGGGTACCTGCTCCAGGATCAGGAATTGGACTCCCTGGGATCAAAATTCCCTCCTCCCTCATCCACCACCACCCATTGTACCCCCCACATCAAACTCACCCCAACACTCATCCTCCACCCCCAACCTCAACCCTACCAACAGTGTGGGGATCAGTCACCTGTCTAAAGATCAGACAGCACCCAGTGACACAGATCCGAATCTCCGTTCCTATTTTGGATCATCCCTGCCTGCAAGATTTGGTAATCACATCCTCCCCTCAGGATCTTCTCTGATCCTGTCCTTCTCACCTTGCCGATCCATTGCAACCAGTAGCTGATTAACCCAGCTAGGATTGAGAGGAGGCTTTTAAACACAACAGGGAGCAGGGAAGTCAGGATGGAGGGTAGGGTTCCACTGTGGTGAATAGGCTTAAGCAGTTTAGGGAGGATGGGGTGAGAGGCATCTGGTGCAGTGAATAAACAAGGCTTCATTGTTAGGCTGTCAGATTATTTTACTTGAACCATAAGGAAGGCTAAAATAAAATGTATTTATTCACCTTCTGGCCTTTTTAGGCTCAGGGATCTAGCTCCTCTGATAGAAAGCTCACTAACCCCTGTCAGTCACCCAAGGGTGGAATCAAATCCGGGTCTCCACCGCTGTGAGCCAGCAGTGCTAACCACTGAGCCACTGTGTCACCGTGCCACCTGGCTCTTACCAAACAATTTAACAGAAGGGAAACCGGTACTTCTACAAAAAAACCCTAGCTATGCTTTCCTTGAGATCAGAGCCAGTCTCTCTGCTCTAATAAAAATTCCAACTCTCCATGAGCAATAACAAAGGAGGTCAGCTGGTATGGAATAAATGTATGCGAGATTGTAGTTTAAAGCTCCAATGGAGTTATTTATAAACTGTCTGATTTATTAAGTGTAATCTCAACTGAGCTTTATAGCACACTCTTGGCCAACTGTTATTCTATACAAAATGCTCTGTCAAAGAGTAAGTGTTGAAATATGAATTCAAAGAAATGGATAATTTAGTATTTGGAAAGTTGTATTCCTGGATGAAAATCTGTTTTGCTTTTGTTGATAACAACGTTTCACAGGCAACATTTGTTTGTCATTTGACATACAGAATACATAGAATGCAATTCCTTTGATTTGAGCTATAATTCAGTCCATTTCCAGGAATACAGATTGTCCAGATGATGTAATGACAGCTACAACCTACTTGGAAACAATGTATTTAAACATCAAGAGAAATCACAGCTTTTGATGTGGATAATAGTAATTCCATGAGATTAACTTTATTGTAACAAAATTACTTGATCTTTGATCCTTGGTATTAAACTTGATGATTATTTCCCATTCTACGTACTAAAGGATTTAAAATACATGCCTGTATGTATAATGTATTAAATTTACATTCTTGAACTAATTTAATTTCAATCAAAAGCTTCCCCAAGTGAATTAAAGAATATTGTTAATAGAAATCTAATTTATATAAATGAATTACACTGTAAAATCAGACAAGTGCTGACAAATTGGTTACAACTCAGTTAAAGTTACACTTCAGTAAGGATCTAAATTGCAAATATTAAAATGTCATATATTAGAGCTGTAGTTTAATGCCTTTTCACCTCTCAGTTTTTATTTGACTCAAGACAAACAGATGCAGTTAAACCTTCTTGTCTATTAGTTGCATGTGATTTAGATATTCTTAATTTAGTTTCCAGCAGATAAAGGTTTCAAAACTTTTACATATGAAACAGCATGAATGGGCAATCTGGAGTGACTGTTGACTATTGAAATTGACTACTGTTGCACTCCCAATGTCCCATGGTCCAAAATACCTGAAAAGTTTCCAATTGAATCAGGCCTTTTTTCAGATGTCTAGGGTATGTTAACACAGTGTTTTGCTACTTTTCTAGAACCTGTCTGGGAAATAGGGCTGGTCTGCTCAGCCTTCTAAACATGAATGGGGCTTCACCTGTAGGCTGCACCAAAAGGAGAAGTTTAATTTCTTTTGATTGAAGGAGAGCCAGAAAAGGCAGAGTCCTCCTCCCGCCACCACAGCATTCCTTATATCTGCCGGTTGGTTCCCTCTTGCTATCCTCTCCCCTCAACACCTATCATAGCATTCCTGTCAGTGAGATTGCTGGCACCATGTGAAGCTAGGAAGATATTGGCAACTTGCTACAAGTATTTAAATGAGTCCCAAGGATCATGTTTTAAGGATGGTAAAAACCTTAAGAACAGGTAGAACATTTTCAACAAATGGGCCCTATTTTGTCCCACATTTTAGATCTAAATGGTAGTTCGTAAAGAGGGTAGTAAATTGAAAGTCATGGTCCAGCGTCCCTACCACCCTATTCTTGCTGACGTTCGCTCCACAATGAAATGGGAATGGTTTCAGTAACAGGAAAGTAAAGTAGGAGAAACCTACTTACAACATGCAAATTAAGTTCTTGAGCCATATTTAGGACCAGCTACAGTTTTGGTCTTCCACTGAAAGTAAAACACAAAGCCTAGTGGATTGATCAGTATTTCTTAATGAATAATTGCTGGCTGTTCAAAAAAGGTTTTCAGCTTTGTCATATCTTGGCCAGTGCTGACTCTCTGTTACCTGCTCCTCCTTCATTGAAGACTCATGCACTACTTGTGTCAAAAGAGAATATATCAGTTTCTCCCCTCCCCCACCCTGAATTAGCAGCAGCCTATTAGTACATGTTCAGTGATAATATTCCATATTTTGGAGCAATTAAAGGAAATGGACGTTTTTTGTAAAACTACTAAACCATGTCAAACCATGAAATTCTACCATTATGTGTAAAATTGCCCATTAATTTATTTCCTAGGACCCTGTCAAAACAAAAGCACTGAAGTCTGTGTCTCTGAGCAGATTTCTTACAAACATATTGCCAATTTCTTTCAATGTACCCTTCATTACATGTACAGCCTTCTCCCGGCAATTGCATAACGCCTGACTCATCGTAAGAAATGTCATTGAAATATGCTTGATAAAATAGCATTTGATATTAGTTAGCAGAGAAGTTACTCAATCTAGTTAATCAAATCTGAGTTCAGGTTAGATTTTGTCTGCAATATGCCAGATGGTTCAGGCAGATGTAACTGCTGGGTATTTAAAGATAGGTGACAAATGAATTACAAAATCTCAAAGTTTGACCGTAGAAATATTTGGCAGAATAGATTGCTCTATGCAATCATATCCATTTCTATTAATTATTTACAGATTTACTTTTGGATATTTCATATGGTGACAATTTACAATATAATGTAGCATGTTTCTCAATTACTCTAAGGGATTATTGCATTCCAATAGTGGCTATTTATATATCTGGAGTTTAAAGAAATCCTAAGGGGGAAGACATAATTTGGTGGATGTATAATCAGCCAGTGGTGAATGAGTCTCCCGTTTTATGGAGTCCAAGTATTTGATCAGCTACTGCCAATATTATACCCCCTCTGAAGTTGAACTTTACCCCCTCGATCCTAGCAAAATATTTCTTGGCAAACTAGTAACGTATATATTAGAGCTTGCCTACACTGACAATTTACTGTTAAGTTTTGAAAAAAAATAAAAACATGTATTTAATTTAAAAAAAACCTTTTAAACTTGTTATTAGAAGTAATTTTACAACTCTGCAATTTGCTTTGATTTCAATGAATGAGCAAAAAATTATGCAATGTGTCCATAACCACCTTCCAAGTTGGGTTGCTCGTCAAGTGACACAAAGTTAGAAGGTTACTCTAGAAACTCATAAATCAAAGCAACAAAAAAGTATGCTCCAAAAGTAGTTTTACTATACTTACCCAAACACTGATCTCCACGCTTTTGATAGCCCGGTTTGCAGCGACATGCAAATGAACCTCTTGTGTTTACACAGGTTAGTTCTGGACCACAATTATGACTTCCTAATGCACATTCATCAATATCTGTTTCAATAAAGCAGAAAAAACTTCAGCTGCTAAATAAAAATAAATGCGTGCATTTCTATAATACTTTTCATGACCATCAGACATCATAAAGTGTTGCAGGAAACAACTTGCACACAATAACCCCCTACAGGGTTCTTTTATGTCCACCTGAGATCAGAAGTCAGGGCCTCTGTTTGATACCTCATTCAAAAGCCAGCACCTCCACAGTGCAGCACTCCCTCACTACTACACTGGAGTGCCTGTCTTGATTTTTGTGCTCAAGTCCTTGAGTAGAACGTGAACCTACAGACATCTGATTCAGAGGCAAGTGTGCTAACAATTCAGCATTGGCTGAGAGCTGTGCTATGAATCATTTTGCCATAGTCTTGGGGGTTGGGGGAGGAGGGTATCAAAGCCCCGTGCAAGTAAGTCCCTGCTCTTTCACAGACTTAGACTCCAACAAATGATGTTTCATACACTTGTGAACGTCTCCTGATTTTAATGTGGCTCTCGGCTGTGCAGTAACACTGGCCACACTGTACTGCTTCATGGCCAGTGTGGGTCTTGTCTTCAGCATCAGTGGTGTTATAATTAGTCTCTATGAAAACAGGAAATCTACCACCAAACCTTAGCGACTACAACTGTTATGCACACAAGCCGTCAAAATTTAAAAGACAGTTTTTGGTACAACGTAGTACATCTCTGGACCTATGCAGGAGCTGGCACCTTCTTTTAAGCATTCTAATAGCTTATTTAATTCTCACCTTTTATTGTGAAATTTTTGTAGTGAAACCGTGCAGCTCTATTAATACTATGCAAAGGCAGGACAAGCCATGGGAGTAAAGGCTATCACTTTTCAACAGCAAATCCTTTCTCCTGCTGTGGCTGCTGAAATAGAATTGGAATGTCCAAGTATTTGAACATCATAATGCTTCCTGTGATATTTGGAATTCCTGTGTAGGAAACTGAGGCTCATCACAAATAGTAGTCTTTTCTACTGATATAAATATGAGGTTTAATATTTTTTGTCCATAAAACTACATGGATAGAGCTTCCACAACCCTAAAAGAGAATTCAATCAATCCGTGAACATTTATTGTGCTCACTATCATCTGTTTAGGTCCTGTGTTGAGGAACAAAACGAGCTGCTTTGTTAAGCGTTCATGAGAGAGTTGCGTTCTATAACAAAGTAGTTACTTAGTTGACCTGGGAAAAAAATCCCTCGAGATTACTTGGAAGGAGCTTGTTGCATCAAAGTTGAAAGCTGTCTGCTGTACTCTGCTGCTGACTTAAGTTTCAGGAATCAACAGGTTTCCACAGCTTCATGACTGACTTGCCAGCTTCAAAAATCCATCTCATGTGAGACAAATTGTGCCTGAGTCTATATATCTTGCTGTATATTTAACTAGGATTATTTGCCATTCCTTTATATTATCTGATTCACCTGTGTCTTCTTATGGTCTCCTAATAGCTCTTTTGCAGCCTTAGATTTTTGGTCCTAATTACCCTTAACTAATTGGGCCCATTAAATAGGCATTCCATGCAATTTTCTTTCATAAACTTCACTTAAATTACGAGTACGTCTTGGTAATTAGGTCTGTTATATAGGGAGGAATCTTGTAGCAGTGATGGCGAGTGTCCTGGCTGACTGTATAGGGGGCTGTTGCCCACTGTGGCATTACTCATGGGGTTGAAGGTCTAGGTGCCAATTTTAAACTATACTTGTTTAGAGAGCTGTTCTTGCAAGCCAGTGGCATCATTCTACCTGTCTTAGAAGACACTCTTGAACTCAAACTGTGGTGTTATTGCATAGATTCCAGACCAGACGGGCAGTGTACATTTAGGACAGCTGGATGCCATGATGATATATGACATTCCACAGACATATAACTATGGCTGGTGGCAGCTAGTTCTTACTAAAAGATAAGAACATCCTTGGCAGTTGTGAAGACTTTTCAAAATCATCACTAATCACTTAGGTGAGTTCAGAGCTGAGGTTCACAAACAAGAAACTGAACCAAAGTGATCCGAGTTGTTCTGAAGCAAAATAACCTCAACAGAGAAGGAATATTAGAATATTTGAATATCATTCAAAAAAAATTACATTTTATCTGTTGATCCACCAATGAAAACACAAACCCACCAGATTAGCAATAAGGTTCAGTACTAGACAACTGGGAGTTTTGGAAATGGTGCAAATAAGTTCCACTCTGGCAGAATTCCTCTGGAAAAGCAAAGTCAAAACTGCAAAAATAATTCATTCTCTGAGCTGCTGGAGTCCTTTTCTCCACCTGACATTAGTCAATTCCACCATTTTGCTTTGTAAGAAATAGCATCAAAGATACTAAAAAGTTCAAGTGACATCATCTCAACTTCTGTTTTGGCATGAACACCATACAAGCCTACTACTTTTAAAGCAGCAAAGAAAAACGTAAAAGAGAAGCCAACAACATATAAAAGGCACTATACTGCAATTCAGATTTTTAGTATTGGTAATTTAAAGAGCACATAAATACAAAGAGACATGCAAAAGAAATACTGGAGTGTGGACTGGCAATCCACTGAAAGTTTTAGTTATTTCATGGATCAACAAATAGTTGATAAAGGAATGGTAGGCAAACAATTTATTGATTTGGAAAAAACAAAGGATGAAGAGTCAGTTCTCCAAGTATTTCTGATGATGACTTCAAAAATCCTGATAAGACTTTCTACCCTTTAGAAGACCAGATTAAAGTCTGAGTCAACTTCACGGTATGTACATTTGTATTCATGTCATATTGACAACAATCAAGTGAAACAATTGATCAATTAAAGGCAGTTGTTAATGCGAAGGAATGGGATGTGATTTCTCTCAGCTCTGAAAGCCTTATGAAATTAGTCATTGCCATTAAACTAATTAAACCCTAAAGAAAAGTGCTTCTTGACAAACCCAAAGAACGTACCATCGATAAAGCTTTAACGAGGCCAGTGGCACCTTCAGATGTCTGACTCTGTAACAACTATTGCAGCTGTCAACAGGGTCAGTAAAACTTCCAATTATTGCACGAGGTACAGTTGTCTCACCCACCAAACTGTATCCACTTTTTGTGCTATTTGCAAGCTGTGATCTAGTAGAGGATATTGGGTTAAACTGTGCTGAGATTTTCCCAGAGAAATCCACAGTTAAGCACAAAGTCCTACTAAGAAGGACAAACCAACAGTCAATGTCAAGAATGCTTCCAAAGTTCCATCCATAAGACACAGCAATGTCAATTAGATTAAAGAAGTAACTGCGATGTTTATAGCTGGCATAGCCCAGTCAGACAGTACATGTGGTTAATTTGACACGTCACATGAACATTATCAGAAAAACTTAAGCCTCTAACTGCATCCAAGCAATACACCCTAAAGCAAATGGATGACATGCATTCTATGCCAAAATGAATATTTATTAACACTAATTAAAATCTGATTAACTTTACTCAGACAGGTTTGATGTTATCAGCAACCTGAAAGGTATTACATCTGAAAGATGATGACCAATCCAGTCCAGGCCTTTCTTGTAAATGCAGCATCCAGATTCATGGCAAGCTCAGACTGGAATTGGATTCCATTGTATAAAGCAACATTGTCTACAAAGTTGAGCATCATACTGACTAGTGACACGCCATTACTTTTGTTTAGAAGAAAGGTTGCACGGTATACGTGTGTTTAGATTCAAGTCAACTAAATAATGCAGCAAAAAGATGCCCATTCAAAATTTAAACACTGGATGAGCTTCCCAGGAGCCAATCACTTTTCTAAAGCTCAATGGATTTTGATCCTGTAAAGTTTCCCTGGAGTCACAGGAACACCATTCAGTGGAAATTTTTTTCCCTCAGACTATTATTTGGATTACCCATCAGCCAAAATATATTAAAAAAAAACACATGGATCATATCATCAAGAATCCATCAGAGTTTCTCTGTATCACAGATGACGTTGAGGTCCTCAGACGAAATAAACATGAACGCGACCTGAACCTCCATTGACTCACGGCAGCGGTAAGAAAACATGGTTTTGTTTTCAACAGTAAACAAATGTCATATCAACATTAGCCAAAACAATTTCTTCCGAAGATAGATCACAGCAAGAGTGTCTCCCACCTGACCAAGGTGGTCTGGGTGGAGATTGCAGTGGAAGTGAGCAGCCACGAGGCCACGAGCGAAACTGGGTTCAATGCTGTAAAAAGCTCAATGATTCGCTGCGCTCTGCAAGGATGTGTGTGCAAAGTACCACTCATTACAGAAGCAAGCAATGTAGAAGCAAGCATTTGTGTTCCAGGCTTCAAGGTTAGTTGGAATACGTAGAAAGAAAGAATGTCTTGCAGCCAGCTGTACTGGTGTCAGGAGAATGCTTTGTAGATCATTGTGGGAGGTGATATTATTTGCTGCACATCTACCTGCTTTTAAAGGTGATTGAGATGATACTGAATCTTTATATCTGTGTGCAGGACAAATGAGCATGAAACGTCAGGGAGCCCCTGAAGATGGGTGTCCTGACCTCCAAACATTGATGCCTATGAGGAGGCAGCAGTTGAACTGGCGAGACAGCAAGATGGACACTCAGTTGTGAGCAGCAAGGCTGAAGAATCAACAGAACAAAGCGGAGTTGTCTCTAACTTGGTGTCAAGAACGAGGCGTAGAGAAGGCATGTATTGGGAAATGGGATTATATGTAACTGAAAGCTAATTCTTACATTACTCAGAGTCTGCAGCAAGCTGGAACACTACCATTGATGAAGAAGAACATCCAGAGGATACATTATCCCTCTTTGGTGGCAATGTGTTAGTGATTAGGCTTGGGGCCTCAATCTGGGGAACTCATCACCGACATGTCACAGCAATTGGTGGAGGATGTGACAGCAGAGGTACCTGGCACTCAGAGGGCACCTGGAATGAAGCTGTGCTGATGGTAGGCCACTGGGTACAGCCAGGAGAAACCTGTTGTGGATGGCAGGGGAACATCTGACTGAGGTGCTCAAGGCTATGCAGAGTCTTC